AGGAACTCCCACTACTCACTAGACACTAGACAACAAACAACCAAACAACTAGATCAACCTCTAGAGGAACTCCCACTACTCACTAGACACTAGACAACAAACAACTAAAAAAGTAGATCAGCCTCTAGAGGAACTCCCACTACTCACTAGACACTAGACAACAAACAACTAAACAAGTAGATCAACCTCTAGAGGAACTCCCACTACTCACTAGACACTAGACAACAAACAACTAAACAAGTAGATCAACCTCTAGAGGAACTCCCATCCCTCACTAGACACTAGACAACAAACAACTAAACAACTAGATCAGCCTCTACAGGAACTCCCACTACTCACTAGACACTAGACAACAAACAACTAAACAAGTAGATCAGCCTCTAGAGGAACTCCCACTACTCACTAGACACTAGACAACAAACAACTAAACAAGTAGATCAGCCTCTAGAGGAACTCCCACTACTCACTAGACACTAGATAACAAACAACCAAACAACTAGATCAGCCTCTAGAGGAACTCCCACTACTCACTAGACACTAGATAACAAACAACCAAACAACTAGATCAGCCTCTAGAGGAACTCCCACTACTCACTAGACACTAGACGACAAACAACCAAACAACTAGATCAGCCTCTAGAGGAACTCCCACTACTCATAGACACTAGATAACAAACAACCAAACAACTAGATCAGCCTCTAGAGGAACTTCCACTACTCAATAGACACTAGACAACAAACAACTAAACAACTAGATCAGCCTCTAGAGGAACTCCCACTACTCACTAGACACTAGACAACAAACAACTAAACAAGTAGATCAGCCTCTAGAGGAACTCCCACTACTCACTAGACACTAGATAACAAACAACCAAACAACTTGATCAGCCTCTAGAGGAACTCCCACTACTCACTAGACACTAGACAACAAACAACCAAACAACTAGATCAGCGTCTAGAGGAACTTCCATTACAAACTATATACTAGACAAGTAGATCAGCCTCTAGAAGATCTTCCACTACAAACTAGAGTTACGGCCCGTAGCTACATGGTGCTCCGAGCGGTGTGCGCCAGAACCTATGGTAACCACAGCACATATTTAATTCCTATATATTTAATTCTTTTACAATTTTTTCTTTTACAAAATCAGGAATCTTGTACAAGAGCTTCACTCGCTCCGCTCAATTATTCAAAATTGAGTATTCGTTTCAAATAGGGTAAGCTATCTAGGAGTCAACGTTTGACAAAATCCGATTCATATTTGTCAAACTTTTTTTTACTTTTTTAAGATGTTCTTGGAATTGAACTAGAGAAACGATAAACGTATTAAATGAACATAAAAGATGAAATTGAACACTATTTCTAGAAACAGCTTTTTTGCAGGGCATCCTTTAAACAACATCCATAATTCTGACCGTGATCACCAGTCGACCTTCCCAAGCTACGGTAGGATCAGCAAGCCAGATGATATGAGGTCACCACAACATGAACCTCGGAAGCTGGCGCAGGCGCTGGCAACTGCAGTTCCGCAAGAGTAGGACGCATACGAAGTTCGACCACCTACATTCACAGTATACAGTACACAAGACAGACACGATGTACGTGCTCTAGTCGTTGACAATGTAAAGAGACTATCAAGGTCTACGACCTTGCGGAAGGCAACGTGAAAATACAATGGAGATTCGTGATCACTGTCGTAAAATACTTGAACATTTGATTGAAAATGCTGCTTGTGTATATACACTAACATAACAATACGGTAAATAGATACACAAAATATGCCAAAATTGCCAATAGGGAATGGTAATAGAGTTTGCCTATTATATTAGGGGTACGCCGACCAGTATGCAAAATAACATATAAAGTCTTCCTACAACATGATATGACGCCAGGGCCAGCTCCTGTATCGCTTTCTCTAGATCTGGCCAAATTAATAGCGAGTGACCAATACCCAGTGTGGATTATCTTAATGTCCCATTGTCTAGTTCACCTGATCACGAACCTAAATAGCTGCGGATCCACGTACCTGCATGAGCCAAACTAGATCTTTGGTCAGTCTAGGTCGTCTACGACACTACATAAAGCCTATACACGCATTTTCACAACAGTTTTAGTAGGATCGTGATGGTTTAGCTTTAACAATAGGAATTGGGAAAACAATGACTTTGAGATTTGGGCAATATCTGAGGGACATTTGTCAGTCTGTCAGGTCGTAGATAGAAACTCTTATAGGTACGAGTGTTAGTTTTACCACTAACAACTGTACCTATTTTAATGAATAGTTTATTTCGAAGGGTAAAACTTGCATTTTTTTTTTAAACAAGTGTGTATAATTTCCAGAGAGGTTTGTTTATCATCCCTTAGTCCCAAAACTGGGCCAAATTAAAGCTACAAAAGTTCAGTTCGACATTTTCAGTTCCAAAAAAATTGAGCAATGCTATTAACTTAATCCACCGACTGCATATCTCTATCCGATGTACATCACAATAATTCCATGTTCCATTTATATGTTCAACCTGTTTGTAAGCTGTTAGGAAAGAGACTGGACTGTCGGAACTTCATTTCCTGTCAGTAGTGTGACATGCAAGTGTGTCAGAGAATGTGCCTGTTAAGTTGGCACAGTGTCTGTTACAGTTTCTGCAACCTTTGCCAACTGCCTTTCCAACTGTCCATCCTCGTCTTTCTACAGTCTACAACCGGAAGATACGGATTTGTTATATCCTTACATACGCTCATCTCATGCTACTTTTTTCATGCTACTTCAGATTATGCCTAGAGGATCACTGTATTTCCTCATAGCTAAAAGCCTTCGGTAATAAGCGGGAGTTGAGCCCGGTACCTCGGGGACGGAAGCCCCGTGCTCTACCACCAGACCAGATCGTTCCTTACTGGTCTTGTTGTATTTTATGACACCCAGTCATGGTGGTTTACTCAGTTAAATGACAAACAATTGCGTAAGCAATGTACGACTGTACTCCAAAGCATGTTACTACTACCATGGCTGGTTTTGCGTCACCCTACAGTAACTGTAATACAATAACTGTTGTTATTTATCCTATGGACCTTAATTTCTACCGGTGCTGGTATTTTAACAATCCTATTTAATATATCATATATCATATCGTATTTATAAACTATTTTACAAATCATTATTGTTTTGACACCAAATATTACGTGAACTGCATCGACTTCGTCTTCTGCCAGTTACCGGGATAAGTTCGTGAAATGAATACGCATGTTTATGTCCAGTCTCACTTACATAATAATTGAAACAGTAAACGCCAAAGGTTGTCTTCAAGTCTGAATGTATCGGCAGACACTACTCTGACGCCTCTGGATATGCATCGGCTAATAACGGAGTCAGTCTGTGCAGGATACTCTTAGACGATAATTATTCCGTAGAGGAGGTGAACTCTCAAACAGAAGAACAAGGAGTGACCGAGTAAACATTGGCATTCCGGCAATCCACGTGTCGCTCTAGCTGCGCTGTACTGCTGTACTGGACGAGGTGAGAGTTTACCAGCTTGCGATAACATTTGACGTTTGGCATTAGATTAAAAGTCAATTTTGCAAGTAAACTCTGGATTTAGGAAAAAATCTATTCTTAATTCTATTATGAAGAAAATAATGTGGTTTGTAGCAATGCTGTAGCAGGTCAAACCTACTTGTTAAAATTGGTAAAATCTACACAATCCATAATTGTAGCGAAGCATGAGTAAAGAAAATATAGTTTTATTATGTTAGGGATATAATTAGGTTAGTTTATAATACGCTAAATGGTTATTATGGTATGTAGGACTTCCGTATGTACGTATGTAGGAGTTTCCTGTATGAAAACTAAATTGACGTCATGAAGTGTCAGTCTTTCATAAAGAATCATAAAAATATAAAAGAAAGTCAATGCCACAACTATTTGGGTGTACAAATGTGATATCTGAAAACTTTCAAATTTCATTGGTTCTTTACAATGCTAGAAGTTTTTAGCTTTCACTGCTTTTTTAGACCGTTCTACAAACAATTAATACTTTGTGTAGAATTTCGGTAGCGTGTGGAGTGGACTGTATTTATAAGTTAAGCGGAGTTTGATTCTTCAAATTAGAACACTGAGATACAATTAACAAATAGTTTTAATATTAACAAATAAACTATCAATGATTTTACAGAACTTTAAAGAGAGATTACAAAAGAGAGAGAGAGATCTTCATCTTGATGTGTTTGTTTTCAACTAACAAATTACTAATAAATTATTTCATTGTTAAATCACATATGTTGTTTTAAACATTAAACCAAATTAAAAACCAATGCCATCTGTATTTATTTTTAGTTGATAGAAAGCATTATTATAACAAAGTTAATTATACTGAATATTACTGAACATACCCCCGCCCGTGAACCACTTAGTGGGGTTCACCTAATAATCAAGTATTGAGAAGAAAAAAAAATGTATTTAGAAATGAACATATTATTTACAATAAACTCTTGGTTAACAGTCTTAACTTCTTTTATTACTCATTGATTGGGAGGGGTGAGACTTTAGTTATAGATCTGGAGAGTGTTCCTGTTGAAGTTTTTAATCTTACAACTCGTACAAGACCATCTTGCCCTGGGGAGGTTGAAATGATACGTCCCATTTTCCATGAAAGGGGAGGTTGGTTTGGTTCATGCAATAGGACAAGATCTCCAATTTTGATGTTAGGTTGAGGACTTCTCCATTTCCCTCGTTGTTGCAACGTGTAGAGGTATTCCTTTTGCCATCTTTTCCAAAAACTTTGGGTTAATGCTTGAACAAACTTCCACCTTGACAATCTGTTTGTTGAGACATCATTCCAGTCAGCTTCGGGAAGAGATAAAAGAGGTCCTCCAATCAGAAAATGACCTGGAGTTAAACAATTAATTTCGCTGGGGACAGATGAAAGTGGGGTTAAGGGCCGTGAATTTAGAATTGCTTCGATGCGAGTTGTTAGTGTGATGAACTCTTCAAGAGTAAGAATCTGTTCCCCTATGACTCTCCGAAGATGGTGTTTGACACTGCGGACAGTTCTCTCCCAAAGGCCACCTTGGTGCGGAGCTGCGGGAGGTAAGTAATAAAATTTAATGTTGTTTTCCATGGAAAACTTACTAAGAGCTTCTTGAGTTTCTTTCTGGACGAAAAAATTCTTAACAATCTTTTGAACTTCATTAGCGGCACCTACATAATTTGTTCCGCAGTCCGAGTAGATGTCGCTACACAACCCTCGTCGAGAGACAAATCTTGTCAATGCTGCTAGGTAAGCTTCGGAACTGAGATCTGTAACAACCTCTAAATGTACAGCCTTGACAGAAAAACAAATGAAGATACAAACGTATACTTTGATTGGACAGGACTTCCTTAATTTGCAAGGTTTAACTGAGAATGGACCTAAAAAGTCCGTCCCGCAGTTGTTGAACACTCTTGAAGGTAGGACTCGTTGGGGAGGAAGATCTCCCATTTTCTGAGTTGTTGTCTTAGGATTGCACTTGAAGCATCGGATGCACTTGTAAACTCTTCCTCGAATAACACTTCGAGCAGATAGGATCCAAAACTTCTGAGATATAACGGCTTGTAAAAACTGAGGTCCAGCATGCAAGTGTTTCAAATGGTAATGATCAACGATGAGATTGGTGACATGGTTAGTTTTGGGCAAGACAATAGGGTGCTTTGCAGCGTAGGATACTTGAGCGTGCTTAAGGCGGCCTCCAACACGAATCAATCCATTTTCATCTAAGAAGGGGGAGACAGACGCAAGACGGGAGGAACAAGGTTTTCCAGCTTTCAATCTAGAAATATCTTCAGAAAAAACTGTTTGTTGAATCATTTTACAGATAGTGATTGTTGCTTTATCAAGCTCTTCAAGCTTTAAAACCCCTGATTCTTTAACCTGGTTTTTTAGGTTATTTTTGAAGCGTAGAATGTAAGCGATGACTCGCTGGAGGGTTGACCAAGATGAAAACCTATTGAATAAGTCTGGTTTTTGAGTTGTAACCATTATTGGTAAAGGTTCGGTCTTACGTTCTGGCAATTGTTCGTCTTGGAGAGGGGTGAAGCGAGGAATAGGCCATGATTCCTGATCCAGAGATAACCAATTGGGACCGTTCCACCATAAACTGTTGTCTTTCATAGAAATGGGAAGGGTTCCTCTACTGGCAATGTCAGCTGGATTACAATGAGTTGAGACATGTTTCCATATGTAAGTAGGAGTAAGTTCTTGAATTTCTGAGACTCGATTTGCAACATAAACTTTTAAGCGGTAGGGTGCAGTTTTTATCCATGACAAGACTACAGATGAATCACACCAAGCATGTAATTCGTTGACAAGATAATCTTGAGAGAGTAGACAGTTGCAATAGTTCAGGAGTTTGGACAAAAGATGGGCACCACACAATTCTAGTCTAGGGTTGGAGATCTTCTTAAGAGGAGCTACTCGAGCCTTGGCAATTAACAGATGTACGTTGATTTCTCCGGAAGAACTTACACATCGCAAGTAGACACAAGCTCCGTAACCTGTTTCAGACCCATCACAAAATCCATGTAAACTGATATGAACAGCATCGGCTACAGAAACATATCGAGGTAAGTTAAGTTCACTTAAGAAAGGGAGTTGTTGGAGGAACTTAGACCATTTTTCAGTTAGATCCGGAGGTACAGGCGCATCCCATGATAAACCTAGTGCCCATAAAACTTGTATCAACGCTTTTACCCAAAGAGTGACTGGAGTCAACCAACCGTTTGGATCAAATATTCTGCTAACTGTTCCAAGTATACCTCGTTTAGTGGGAGGTGTGTCTGGGATATTCAACTGATAAGAGAAAGTGTCTGAGTTAGGTGACCATTTTATACCTAGTACCTTGAAATAAGGTTGATCTGAGGAGTTGAAATATAGAGGAGTTTCTTTGTAAGAGTCGGGAAGAGTTTCCATGATTTGAGGGCAGTTGCTAGTCCATTTCCTCAGTTCGAAACATCCTTTTAAGAGAAGTTGTTCCACCTCATTTCTTAGTACCAAAGCTTGTTCTATGCTGTTGGCACCTAAAATTAAATCATCTACATATACTTGTTTCTTTAAAGCCTCAGCTGCCAGAGGGAAGTTTGCACCTTCATCGGTGATAAGTTGGTGCAGTGTCCTTAGTGCCAAGTAGGGCGAACAGTTGAATCCAAACACAACCGTAGTTAAACGGTAAACTGAAAGGGGGTCGTCTTTGTCATCTCTCCAATACAACATTTGATAGTTTCTATCATCTGGGTGGATCATTATTTGACGAAACATTTGTTTGATGTCACATGAGAAGACAATAGGGGAAAGTCTAAACTTTAACAGAATATCATTAAGATCATTATGTAGTTTTGGCCCCGTATGTAAAATATCGTTAAGGCTGACACCTGAGGAGCTGCGTGCGCTTGCATCGTATACTACACGAAGCTTGGTGGTTGAGGATTCTACTTTGACAATACCATGGTGAGGTAAGTAAAATTGTTTATTATCACTGTTTGAAGGAGGGTTAACAGGTTCCATGTGACTAGATGACAATAAATCATGTATGGCTTTACTATACTCTTCTTTAACTTCAGGCTGACTTTCTAATTTTCTTTCAAGTGATAGGAATCTATTACGAGCGCAAAATGATGAGTCACCAAGAGGGGGATGATTTTCTTTTATGGGTAGCCTAACAAAGTAGCGTCCATCTGAATCCCTAGAGACCGTGTTTAGAAAGTGATTTTCACAAATTTCTTGTTCAGATGTAATATGATGTTTGATGGGAGGTTCCTCTAGAGTCCAAAATTTCTGCAGAGAATTGTGAAAATCAATATCTTGAGTACTTAATAAAGAAACATTACCCTTGCATTAAGGGGCTGTTTTGTGAGGGACTACAGCAGGAAGATTTGGGGCAGATCCTATGATAAGATATCCAAATACAGAATTCATGGCAGCAGGATCATCCATCATCCATCATCATCCATCATCCATCATCATTCAGCAGGAATTCATGGATCCTTGTTAATGATGATGCGTTCACCAGTGATCACTTTAGCGAATAGATCAGCACCTATGAGCATATCTATCTTACTAGGCAGATGAAAAGTTGGATCAGCCAGGACCAAATGTTTGAAGTATTCTTTAACATTAACTGGAACTTCTGAGTGTGGGAGGTTTGAGGTTATTCTGTCTAGAATAAGGACTGGGTTGTTATCAGCAATCATTTCTCCGCTAAGAGACGATATGTTAACTTTTGACACGCCTTTAGATTTAACTTCTACTGATGATAGGCCATCTATCTTGGAATTACTGGAAAATGTCCGTTTAAGCATAAGCAGGTTAGCAATATTTTCTGTTACGCAGCTTACCATAGATGCGGAGTCAATAACGGCTTGGGCTACAACTGTGTTACCGTTATTAGCTTTCAAGTGGACCAATGCAGTGGCTAGCAATATAGTGGTATTAGGGTTCGAGGAGACAGCTACAAAGGGAGGTTCAGGGTGATCATATGTTTTATTCATTTCCTTGGTCATCGGAGCATTATCTTTAGGCTTTTGATTAAGCTTATCATTAGGCCTATTATTAGTTTGATGTAAGAGGGAGTGATGTTTCAGTTTACAGTGAAAACATGTTTTATTTGACTTACAGTCTTTGACAGAATGAGCGGTACCTAAGCAGTTCAAACAGAGGTGGTTTTTCCTCACAAAATTGTACCTTTCCTGTACGGACAAATCTTTAAACTCTGAGCATTGGTAAATGTTGTGATCACTTTTACTACAAAATGTGCATGTGGCGTTTGAGTCTCTGGAAGCTAGTAAAGTAGTGCGGTTCGGTGTAGACTTATGTAGGCCTATCTGAGAGGAGTGAGGGCTGGACCTCTTACTATTTTGAGTGAAACCTACATTGATGCTATTGCTTGAAGTAGTTCTAGGAAACTGAGAGTTAGAGAGGTTAGCAGCTTCTAAGTAAGCACATTCATTTTCTAAAAATGTTATTACTTCACCTACGGTTGGAAGGTCTTGAGAATTTAGACGTAAGCTTTCAAACTTTTTGCGAATGTCTGCGTGTAATTTCCTTAGTAACATGGCTGAGAGCAAGATATTATCCTTGGCTATGTCATGATTGAGTGCAATGAGTGCTTGGGCATTTTCGTTATATTGAGAAATGAACGAGCGAATGTTCTTGAGGGAGGAGTCACTTAGGTTAGGTAAGTCTATTATGTTGTTGAGGTGTATACTTATGATTTTCCTACTGTTTTGATACCGTTTTTGAAGAAGATCCCATGCTACATCATAGTTTTCAGCTGTGATTGGTAAATTCTTTATAAGATTGAAAGGTTCTCCCTGTAGAGTAGAAAGCAGATATTGAAATCGCTCAACTTTAGATATGTTTTCATTATCATGAACAGATGAAACAGGCTTACATAAGACAACCATTGTTCTGGTGAACCATTGAAAGTTTTGAGAGATAGAGGAGGGAGTTTTAGAGAGTGGCTATCTTGGTTTGAGGAAGAGCTACTAGGCCTAAGGGGTAGGCTACTTGATGGAGTATTTGGTATTGAGTCAGTATTTAGAACTGACCTATGACTTGTAGGGTCTTGAGAAAGGTGTTTCTTCGTGAGAGTTTGAATTCCTACACATAAATCAGATATAGTATCTTGTAATTGAAAGAGTGTATCTTCTTCATAATCATCGGGAAGCGTGTCACTATTGAATAGTTTCGCAAGGGAGGTTTCAAATTCTGAATATTTTCTAAGTGTTTCTGAATCTAAAAGTTTCAACTTATTTATTTGTTCTTGGGACAAATCAGGTAATAAATCTAAAGCTTGGATGTTAGTTTGGATTTTGGCTAAACGATTCGCAATTGAGTTTAATTGCCTAGAGAGGGTGACGAATTTCATTGTTTAAGTGTTTGGGAACTAGAATGAGAGAGAGAGATTAGAGATTGTCATTATTTTCTGCAATACGAGACACAGATAACAGATGGCATTGTTACATTAGCGCTATTAATGGTGGCTCTGAGCATTACAAATTACCAAATTGTACAGTTTGATACAAATTGAAATGTCAATTAATAAATTACAACAAAAACAATATGCATAAAATAGAGGAATCAAAGTCCTTTAGATATTGACCTTTTAGATCTACAGTAGTCTTGATAGTCTTCTTACTTCTTACTGATGAGAAAGGAGTGAGTAGTTCATTTTTAAGGTTGCAAGTTGGAGTTTGAGTAGAACTAATTGTGACTTATAGTTACCAAAAGAGCTGAGTTTCAGATGATCTGCGGCCGAAGGACCATGTAGAATTTCGGTAGCGTGTGGAGTGGACTGTATTTATAAGTTAAGCGGAGTTTGATTCTTCAAATTAGAACACTGAGATACAATTAACAAATAGTTTTAATATTAACAAATAAACTTTCAATGATTTTACAGAACTTTAAAGAGAGATTACAAAAGAGAGAGAGAGATCTTCATCTTGATGTGTTTGTTTTCAACTAACAAATTACTAATAAATTATTTCATTGTTAAATCACATATGTTGTTTTAAACATTAAACCAAATTAAAAACCAATGCCATCTGTATTTATTTTTAGTTAATAGAAAGCATTATTATAACAAAGTTAATTATACTGAATATTACTGAACACTTTGATTCTCGTCTTCCTTTTACGGCAAGAGGCAGAATTGCAAATTGTTAACGAGGTGTATACTATGTTTCTTATTGAAGCTTAACCCGATTACTACATTGAAAGAACTTTATTTATTCCTCAACTTTGAGAATGTAATATTAAAAATTTGTTATATATCAATTCGGCCGTGTCTGTGGATTGTCGCTACTCCAGGAATGAAGTCCAGCATGTGGCACTAGATGCTTCTTCCTGGAACTCTCGCCGTCCCTGCGATTTATGACGCGTCGCGATCCAGATCCTGGAATTATCCTCAATATACATCAACAGTGTAAATTGTCCAAGTGCTGAAGAATTTCTCTTTGGCAAAACTTCTTCGAATAGCTGCAGTACAACCGTCTCGGACAAAGTAGCAAATACTTGTTTGTTAATATGTGAGATTGGTTTGATATTGTGAATACAGAAAATAATTATTTTATGATATACTCAATGTTGGCTCAATGCCATCAGTCTTATTGTGCACATAACATAGCTCGTACACATTCTTGTCATTGATTACATTTGGAGAATCAGTAGCTTACATAATTCGCCGATTTGTTACAAAATCAAAAGAATACAACTGAAAAGCCGCATTTTAAAAAGGATTGACTACAACAAAAGGGGTTTGAGAATGAACTATTGCAAACGAGTTTTAAAATTAATTTTTTTGTTTGAAGTAATTGTTTCCTAAGTTTTGGCAAAATCACCCATGTGTTTCCTACTTTCATCATCGCTTGGTTTGCCATTGATAGCCTGGATAGCTGGGTGGATAGGAGGAAATGTACGAGATGACAACTGTCGTTGATAGTTTCGGGTACAAATGTGTCCCTGGTGCTCCCAAACACCCACACCCACACCCGCATCACCACGTGGGTCGTGGGACGGTGTGTTGGTGGGATTTCGACAGAGCATCTGCTGAAAAATCTCGTTAGTTTTAATGTTCCACCGCTAGTCATAACAATAACTCCGGTGATAATGCACAACTTATACGCTCGCCGGAAGGAACAGAGCGGTCCCAGCTGGTGTCACCCAGCAACGCAACTCCAGAGTCTTCAGCAGATCTGCCATAAACAGGGTCGCTTAATGATATTGACAATTCATAACAATTATTGATACAAATACATAAATGATAACGGTGGTTAGATATCTTAACAGTGATTTAAAATTGCCGGGCCCAATCTTGAAACGAATGATGGTCCTGTGTTGTACTCTCGGAAAGTCAGTTTGAATTGTAAACTTATTTCTATTGAAAGCCGTATTGTTAATATAAAGTTGATAAAGTCATTAATTTGAAAACGCAATACCAAGCTTGAACTGATTTTAAGTCGCTGAAACCCCCTCGATGAGTGCAGAGCTCCGGGTTTTGTGTAATCCTCAAAATTAAACTTGAGTAAACTTTGCATAGAACATTCAAATAAATGTAAAGATTATATACAAAGAATGAATAAATAAACAAATAAATTTGCATACCATATAAAAAAAACAGTATACAATCCTAATAATTGTTGAGAAATTTTAAAGTAGTGTGGCCAGGTACAAATTAAAACATAATATATAATAAATAATGCATTTGTTAAAGTGTTTTTTATAATAATCCATTTTAAAGTTTTGAAATTTGTAAGGTTTTGTATAAATAATACGTTTTAGTAGAGTAGGAATACTACACTAGATTTCCTTCTGACACCTCGCGGGACGTTCCCATGACAGAACAGCTCCTTAGAAAAGTTGATTTTTAGGTGTGGTGTTGATGTACCAAATCTTATTGATTTATCTGTTGTCGTTTAGAAAATATCAACCCCGTGCGGGACTTTATACACCCTGTATAACGTGCCAGCAGCTAATGCATTAAAGATATTTCGGAGGGCCATACGAAGCTATGCGATTACATACAGGAAATTAACGTGTGCGTCCCTCCGTGGAGTGTCAGAGTTAAGTTGCTCTGAATACAATGTGTATTATTGTTCCTACAGACTTCGAGCTATGGATAGGTGAGGGCTGTTTTTGTGTGAACAAAACTCCTCCGTTATTTCTGGACTGATTTTAACGTTTGAGGTGTCAAATAATTCGTCTCAATTAGTAGCTTTGCATAAAGCTTTTAGAATTTAAAATCTCTTACCCTTAAGGGCACGAGACGCTCTCAAAGGTTGCATTTTCTCCATAATAATGACATTGAAAACAAATTTAAAAACAAAAACAGCTGTATATAACAATAAACTCACCAGCTTTTTGGGGCGTAAATATTGATGTTTGTAATATTTAGGAGGTTATAAACAAAATCTAAACAGTTAATCAGTTTTGTTGGAAAAACAGAAAATTTCTTGAACTTAAAGAAGAAATATTGAAAACAGGAGGAGGAGACAATTAATAGGAAATCTTATACTTATGAGAAGTATAGAGGAAAGGCCTGGTCTCACAGTAAGGAATCCAGGTACACAATTACTTGGGGAGATGAATCGTTTTTGCCAGTTATGTTAAGTGACTTATTTTGGAAGTAAAGAAAACCATTAAAAATATACACATCATGTTGTCACAGTGGTAAAGTAAGCCTACCTAAAGTCAGATCAAATAAATGCATGCATTTCTGCATGCAAGAAATGTTTACTGGTAACAGCTTTAAGTCGGGAAACATTTTGTAGAAAACACTAAAACATAAGGCCGGGTCCAAAAAAAGCTAAGATATTTTTACAAGAAGCGTTTATTATTTCAAAGCGCTATTAAATATCGTGAGAATTTCAATTAGTTACATAAGCATTTAGTCGGGTCTTTTATACTCATCGAAAATTATGACTGTTATTACTGTAGTTTTAAAATAACTTCTGTATAATACCGGTACTTGACAATTGCTCGATTTCGAGCAACAGGTTATAGT